TTTTTTTTTTTTTTTTTTTTTTTTTTTTTTTATTTTTTTTTCTTTATAAATTGTTGTACTTGAATAAAGCAAGCTATCCTCTATGACGTCATTGTGCCATTGGCAGAAGGCCTTTGGACTCTGAGTCTTTGATTCTTCCTGGGTCTCTAGCTTGTTTGCCTACCTGTAGTTATTGAACTTTCTCTTTTATGATTGTGTGAGCTGATTCCTTAAAATAAATCCCTCCAAACACATGCTTTACAGGCATTTCACTAAGAATTCCTACTGTATCAAGCAAAAGGTGTTTAGACTAGTGTGTAGAGGAAAGGTAAGAATGACTGTTGCATTTGAGATTTTTAAAAATGATTTATTTATTTAATTTTATTGCATTAATGTTTTGCTTCTGTGGGAGTGTCAGACCCCTGGTACTAGAGTTACAGACGGATATGAGCTGCCATGTGGGTGCTGGGAGAAAGAGCCAGTACTCTTAACTGCTGAGTCGTTTCTCCAGCCTCAGGAGATATTTTATATGTAAGCATGCATGCATGCATGTATGTATGCATATATGTATTGTTTTGAGACAAATTCTTGCTCTAACTACACGATGGCCTCAAATGTACAATTTCCATCCCCAGCCTCTCAAGTGCTGGGATTAAAGGCGTGTGTCCTCAAGGCTGGGAATATGCTTTCTTTTTAAATCCTGGGGATTGAACCCAGTTCCCTATGCATGCTAGCTAAGCACACACTGAGCCCCAACCCAACCCTTGGACATGTTCTCATGATAGGGACACCAACTTCATAGCAGAGTCAGAAATAGGATGTGAGCCGGGTGGTGGTGGTGCACACTTTTAATCCCAGCACTTGGGAGACAGAGGCAGGCAGATCTCTGTGAGTTCGAGGCCAGCCTGGTCTACAAAGTGAGTTCCAGGACAGCCAGGACTGTCATACAGAGAAACCCTGTCTCAAAAAAACAAAAAAACAAAAAAACAAAAAAACAAAAAACAACAACAAAAAAACCTTTCAAGCAAGTACCAATTTGTCATAGGTGACACAGAAGTTTCTGTCAGAGCAATTAGAAGGTGCTGCCATCAAAAATGAAGAGACGCCTTTGAAAGACCTGGTGTGTGTGTGTGTGTGTGTGTGTGTGTGTGTGTGTGTGTGTGGTGGTGGTGGGGTTATCACACAGATTTGATTTGAACAGGTAAACTTTGACTTGAAATTTAGCCATAAATGTAGTTCATGGGGTTGAAAGCAGTCAGGCGGGAGCTGTACATTGGGGGTAAGATTCTAAGCCCGGTGTGACAGGAGCGCCGAGACTGTGGGATGGTAGGTCCCATGGGGAATATAGGGAAAGAGGACTGCAGGACTTTAGAGGCTAGTAAGGTGGATTGAGAGAGAGATTTGGGGGTCGGTGGAGGGATCAGGGGAGGCCATGGGCTGAGGTCGCCTGAGCAGAGGGAGTGCCCTGCTCGTGCCTGTATCTCTTTGCACATTCTGGGAGTTGTTTTATGTGTTGTTTCCCACAGAACAACTTACTGATGATGTGGGAATTACCACAGAATTCCTACTCTCTGTGCTGCCGCTGATGTACAGTAAACACTTAGGTATTTGAAGGAATGAAATGCCTATTAGATCCCAACTGTCGAGTGGCTGCACTGTGCCAGCTCTTTATTCTGGTCAGGAGAGTTGTTCCTGTATAAATAAAGAGGGGACGTGACTGTTCCAAGGTATGGTTGAAGGCATCTGGAAGAGCGCAGAGCAGGGAGAAAAAATAGTAGACAAAACATGGCCAGCAGATTGGACCATGGCATGAGAAGGGGGGGAGGGAGTAAGAGAGCAAGACAAAAGAGAGAGAGCCAAGAGAGGATATGGCTGAAGTGAGACGGTTATATGGGAATGAGAAGCTGGGGCAGGGCAGCCTATGATCTAATAGGGGTAAGTTTGAGGTAGGGGGTAGAGTGAGAAGAGCTGAACAAAGCCCGAAGGCTGACACCACTTTGCTGTGCTAATAGGCACCACAGATAGCCATTCGAGATGAGGAACAGCTCCTTTGGTGGAGGGGAATGGGTGCCAGAATTGGAAGTAGCGTTTCCTTTGTACCTAACAGCTTTCTGACTCACTCCCGCCTCGACTGGCTCATAAGGTGTACCTTATTCTCCTGGTCATATGGTTGATGTCCCTAAAGGATGGTTTGAGGCTGTGTAAGTGTGCAGTTAACTGGGAGTAAAAATGAGAACATGTATTTCAGAGTAAGAGAGTGGCTCATTGCTTACACGTCACCACCCTGCAGGAGAGCGTGCGTGTCTGTCACTCGAGTTACTGCAAGATCCTTATATCTTTGGTCTGGCTTCTCTTGATTTTCTGTTCTAGCACCTAGAAGAATGTCTGGCATGAGGCCAAAGCTCAGTTACTATTTATAGAATGAGCAGGTTCTCACACCAACACTTTCACCTAAGGTTGAATGCGGGAGTGTCTTTCTGTTGGAATATTGCTATTGGATACAACTTGAATTCTTTTTTTTTTTCGAGACAGGATCTCTCTGTGGCTTTGGAGGCTGTCCTGGCACTTGCTCTGTAGACCAGGCTGGCCTCGAACTCACAGAGATCCCCCTGCCTCTGCCTCCCAAGTGCTGGGACTAAAGGCATGTGCCACCAACGCCCGGTTACAACTTGCATTCTTATTTGTGGCATCTCTCCATCCTGTACTTGCCTGAATCTATCTACTGTGATCTGCTGATGCTGTCTGGTCACATGGGTGTTTTCTGTGCTGAAGGCTCCTGCCCCACTATTATCTTGCAGCTTCTGCATTTGCTCTTCTGAGTGGATTGCTCTCCCCCTCCCCAGTGGGCTCCTGATACCAGGGCCTATTCAAATGTCTGCTCCTTGGAGAAGTTCCATGCTCTCCACAGCTAAAGAGCTCTTCCTCTGCCTCCCTCCTCTCCTAGTTTCTGTCATCAGTTTCAACAGTTTTCCTTTTCTGAGCACTTCCTGGACTTCCAAGTTCTTATTTGTGTTAACAATGACCAGCCTTTTCAGTCATCCTCGTACTCGTGTGTTTCTGGACTCTCCCCATCCCAAGGAAACCAGGATGCTAGTGAGATCCTGACTTGTATAACAAACTGGATGATAGGTAGTTCTGTCATCTACCGACATGGAAAATGCTAGTCAAAGATCATGAAAAATTGTGCTGTGTGTGTTAGATGCAGTTTTAGTGTGATGGATGTTTGGCTTGTTCCTCTTTTGAATTTGTGTGCATCTGTGTAGGTTAGAGGCTAGTCTGTTCCTCAGGTATGTTTGCCTAATTTATTTGTGTGTGTATTGGTGTGTGCATGTGTGTTTGTGTGTATGCTATGGTACATGTGTGGAGGTCAGGGTACAACTCGAAGGAGTCAGTTAACTCTCTTGTTCTACCTTGTGGGTGGCAAGTGCTTTTACCAGCTGAGCCATCTCACCTGCCCTGTTTTTATACTTAGTTTTGAAGAAAGTCTGTTATTGGCCTGGAGCTTACCAAGGTAGGCTAAGCCAGCTGACTGGCCGCCAAACCCTAGGGCTCTACCTGACTCTGTCTCCCCATATCTGCCTTTAGACTGTGTGCTAATGCTCAGCTGTTTCATGTGGTTTCTGGGTATTTAATTCAGCACTCAAGCTTGCATGGAAGTGCTTTACAAAAAGAGCTATTTTTCTGCCCCCCCACCCCAACTCCTTGAATTTTATCTCTTTAGGAAACAAACAAACCTGCTGAGATTTTGGTTTTGAGTATGTTGATTTTATGCTGCTTTTAAGCACGCAAGATGATGTGTCCGATAGGCAACTGTTGCTTGCATTGGGACTGTAGAAAGCAGCTTGGGGTTGGGGTATGAGAGGCTGGGGCTGGGTGTGATTCCAGCTCTGCTAGTTCCCTTGAACTTGGCAAGGCACTGAACCTGTCTGAGATGCTCACTCCTTTGTTAAGTGAGAATAGCATCTCCGGAAGTGAGAAGTTCTGCACAGTACTCAGAATGTAGAATTACTTTAGCATTGCTACACAGATTGGTCTGGTTAATGATGACAGCGTTTAGCGTCTGTGTGTAAAGTACTGTGCCGCTGTCTTTCTTATTTTCTCTATTCCCTAGCTAAAAATTTTAGCTATTGTGCCCATGTAATTTTCAATAAAATGTACTTTGAAGCTCCCCAAAGGTCCTAAGTACTTAATACACCCATGAATGCTTACCCGTGCACACAGATTTAGCCTTAGTTCCCTCACCAAATTTAGGTATTGTATACAGCTTGAGATCTAAAACCCTGGATTTGTTAACCATGATTAGAAATCAGATTGCCGGCTGTCCCCATGAGCTGCTCTGAGGTTCTGTTGGATCCGAGTCAGAACTCAGAAAGGGCATGGTGTTTCTTTTTCTTCTTCTTTTGGATGCTGGCTGGAACCTAACTATGCCTTTCCTGCTGCTCTGGGCTTGTTTGCCCCCATTTGTCATGCAGCAACTTACTTGCCTGATGACTGAGCTCCATGCCTAGCTCAGATGGCATGCTTTTGCTGTCTTAAACTCCTACCCGTGACTATAGTGAACTTCTCTCACAAACAGGGAGAGCATTGCTATGCTTTTAAATTGAAGATTGTTTCCGTGGAGCGCAACATCAGGTTATGGATGTTGCCTTCATTTCAATGTTGCATTGAAGGAAAAGTTCACATTAATCATTTATTCTCCACATGGGCTCTCTTAGAAAAATAGTTAAGGTTAGTTAAGCGTCGCAAAAAAAAATGTGTCAAACTTCATATTAAATTTCCTTAGTTCTATGTTGTGTTTGAGGAATAAGAAAATACTTCAGACAACTGGGTAACATTTTAGTTAAAACCATACTAATCAATGAAAATATTGACTATTTAGAGTGGTTAAGAACAATGCTGCTAAAATAGGTTGTGACATAGGAATTTCAACTTCTGACCTTTAACAAAGAAATCTGGGGTCACATCACTGTTTCTTCTGGTTAGTGCTCAGAGCTGTGACACGAAGGTGATTCTGGTATTCCTTAGCTTGATGGGTAATAGTATGGTAGGTTCCATACTCTGTGTGAGCAGGACAGAAACCTGCTCTTGGCATTTCTGTCTACATAACTTGATACTGTGGGTATTTCATCTTTGTCTGGCCTCTCAGAGCTTTCACCTGGGAGCACAGAGGCAGGGGAAGAGGTGATGTCAGCGTTCCATGGGCCAGCATGCTGACCCCCTCTGTCAGCACTGCTGAGGAAGTCTTTGAGAACTTGCTTGAAGATGTAGACTATTTCCCAGGGAAGGACATCATTTTCTGCCAGAAGTTCTCGAAATCTAAGGGGGATGCGGGATGAATGTTTAGAAATTTCTTTTCTACCCCACCTCCCAAATGCAGCTTACATCATGTATTCATGTACTAGGTACTGACCTTTTGAGTAACCAGAAAAGCTTTGTAGTTAAAGGCTCCAGTGAAGAAATTTTGCTTATAATTGAAATAAATTTCTACCAGTAAGCTATCCAGGGGTAAATAGGGTCTTTGCAGCTAGGTATCTGGTACATATGATTAAAGAGTTTATGGAATGGGGCAGTTTCTAGTCTGAAGGAGGAGCAGCTCACTCACACCACAAGATGAGGATAGTTTGTTACCTGCTGAGAATAGCTCCGGTTTGACAAGGTTGCACTTGGGAGCAAAGAACTTCAAGCTGTCTCTGTTCAGTAGCTGGGATGGTAGCATGAGGATTTCTCAGCCAGTTGTAATCCACACCTGCTCTTTTCACTTTCTGCTCATTTTCCATCTCCTGTAAAAATCTCTCTCGCTCCTTTAGATGCCATTTTAATTCCCGAAGCAGAGTCTTTGTTACTATATCTGAGCCAGGATAATGTGTTTGCTTGTAGGAATCATTTTTTGGCCATTTCATCCAGCTAAAAAGTGGCATTTTTTAGGCTGTGGAGATAGTAGATGTTTACTTGCATAAAAATTTTAATGGTTTTTATGAGTGAATGTTTTTTATTTAATATTGCCAGAAAAATTCATGAATTTTTCACTGGTTAGACATGCAGGTCACAATAAGATTAGAACATGGATTAAAGTCTTACAGTTTCTAACTAGGTCAGTGCTAAAATCCAGGCTTTGGAAATACTTAGATATAACTGCACAGAAATTAAATAAAACCAAAGAAAATAATACAAATGAGCAATTTCTGAAAATAGCACTTGCCATTAGAAGTTCTTGGGGCCTTTAAAGCATCAGTGTCTTGAAAAGTGCTGTCTACAAACTCACTCTTGACTTCTCTGTACAGAAGGCGTAAAGCTTACCTGCCGAGGAGTAGATGAGTTGTGGGGATGCTGCAGAGAGTTTGCTTGAATTGGGGTGAAGCTGTGCTTCACTCAGGTGGGTCTCATTCCCTTGGACGTCCTCCAGTGAAGGAACATGTCTCCTCATTGACCCACTGGAACTGTTTGAAACAAACAGCTTTCCATGTTAGGAATGAAGTTCTGTGGCTCATTTAGAGAGAATGCTCACTAATTCACCTTGTAACTAAGCTAAAAGACATATCTATCTATCTATCTATCTATCTATCTATCTATCTATCTATCTATCTATCTTTCATCTTCACAATTTACATCAATTGTCTACCTTTTGAATGTAGCTTATTTTGTTTGTGAAAGCTGCCGGCAGCTGTGCCTGCTGCAGCGTCTCCAGAAAGGGAATGGGAGGCAGGCGTGTGAGGCTCTCCGGATGCTCTCCCAGGGCTCTCCCAGCCAGGCGCATGAGGACTGTCGCATGACGTGCTGCTTTGCTGTGCGTAGCTGTGGGTCACAGTTCCATGCTGTATTTTTATGCCTGTAGAGCTCTAAAAATAACCACACTGCTTTTATTCTCCAGCTTAACTTTCAGGCCATTGGAAGCCAGGTCACTGTCCCTTCTAATGAAAGCAGAAAAAATAGATCAGACTTGACTAAATGCCCGACACACACGCTACAAAAGCTTATTGTACCTGAGTAAAGTGGCCAGCACGTGTGATGTCACACCTGTGTGGGATGCTTAGCAGATGTCACTTTATACACTCATTTATTGCTTATAAAATAGCCAATCTGTGTACTGAAGTTGAAATGCTAGAGGACCCTAAAGCACCTGGGTAGATAACTGCAGTGTGTATTTGATAATCTCTGTGTTCATGGTGCCAGGACAGTGATGTGTTATCAGTGAAAGCAGAGGTCTGAAAATGTACAAACTACATTTTTAGTTAAATAGAACTATAATAGAACTAAATAGAACTATACAGGGTGCGCTGTGGCTTGGTGGAGTGCTTGGCTGGCATGTGTGAGCCGAGTTCCATCCCTAGCAGCACATAAAATCAGGCAGTTGTATTGCATGCCATTAACCTCCGCACTTGGGATGTGGAGGAAGGAGTCTCAGGAGTTGAAGGTCACCAGGGCTGTGTGTAGAGTTCAAGTATCAGAATTGCAGATGAAACATTGATAACCACTCCTTAAGTGAACACTGGTGTACCTTTTTTTCTATTCAGGTGCTTGTCTTGTGAAACAGAGGCTAGATAAGAGTGTGAGAGGTTTTTGCTCCTTAGCTTTCAAGTAGCTTTTCCTTTTTTAATCCTTATTTCTTCTGTTGCTTTTCTTTCCAATGAACCAAGAGTAATAGACACTGTTCACATCGACCTGTGTGCCATGTGCGATCAAGAGTGACATGTGTGGTCATGCTGCAGTTCCTATTATGTCTGGAAGAGGCCAGACGTCAGGATTCATTACCCTCAATGAGAAGACTGTGCATTACATTGCCTGTAATAGCAGGAGAGGGAAAGGGGCGAAGTTTATGGTGACAGATTGTCCTTCCAAATTAAAAACTAAGATTGTACCAAATCATGCAACTTTGAAACTTTGTAATTCTTGAGAGCTTGTTTGGAGGTTCTCGAAGTGTTGGGGGGATGGCTACTGGAATACCTTGCAGGAAGAACAGTCCTCCTCTATGTGGGGAAGGTCATCCTCTTCGCCGGAGCATACAGCTTTGGGAGAGGGAGGAAGGACACACCCGCCTGGCCAGCCAGCTCAGCTGCTCGACCCTGGCCATCAATGGGGTGACAGGTGTCTCAGCCAGATCACCCGAAACTTTGTTACAAACACGATTTCTACTCTTTCAGTCTTAGGACACTGCCCCCCTCCCCGACTTCCCTGTTGACCCTCTCCAGTGCTGAGGACACTTGTCCTACACTGCAGTCTTTTTTCTTTTGTTTGGTTTTGAGACCGGGTCTCACTATGCAGTCCTGGCTGTTCTGGAACTCACTGTGTAGACCAGGCTGGTGTCAAACTCCTAGAGATCTACCTGCCTCTGCCTGGTTAGTGCTGGGATTAGAGGTGTGAGATCCACACTACCCCCAAATTTAGATACACTGACTCCTCAAATACTTGTGATTCCTTTTATTTGTATTTGTTTCATTTTTTAATTGCTGTCCAATTATGTGTTTTTTCCTCAACATTTTTTCTTGGTCTACTCTTCTTTGGACTTGTTCTAGTTTTCCCTTCTCAGTTTTTAAATGCCTTCTGATGAAATTCTGCCATGTGTCCTGTATTTGCTGGTGTTCAGTTGTTCAGCTGATCCTTACTGATGACTCTGTGGTCTGGAGGGTTAGGACCTGGGATGACTAGATGGGTCTAGTTTGCTTTCATGGGCTCCCCTTCCAAAGGGAAGACGAATGCACGAGTGAGATGATCATAGGTGTCTGTGTCCTGAGGGAGAGATGGATGTGCGTGAGTTCTCGAGATCGTCATAGGTTGTCTGTGTTAGTTAACATTCTTGCAGTGACCCTCAGTTAGATGAGGGGTCAGGGCAGGACTTTCTGGTTGAGATAATTTTTTAAATTTTTATTTATTTATAATTTATTTTTATTTTATGTGCATTGGTATCTCCCCTGCCTGTGTAAGGGTGTCAGATCTCTTGGATCTAGAGTTATAGACAGTTGTGAACTGTCAGGTGGGTGCTGGGAATTGAACCTGGGTCCTCTTAGCCACCAAACCATCTCTCTATCCTGGGGAATAATTCTTTTGAATAGGGATTTATATGTTGATTCTTGAAACAGGGTCTCATTGTATAGCCTAAGCTGGCCTCAGATTCACTGTACTCCTGCCTCAGCCTCTTAAGTAGATTACTGGCATAAGCCACAACACCCAGTCTTTGAGCAGAGATTTGTTGAGGGCCACATCTCTTCTCTACCTGGCTTATTGGGCATCTTTCCAGACATAGCTCATGTCGGACACCACGGAATTTTAACACTTCTTCAGTCCACTCTGAGTGCTCTTTCCTATGCACGCACTTGTACAAAAGAGGTGTTTCTAGTCTTTAGTCTGTGCTGCTTCGCTTTCATTTTTCTCCTTTCCCATGGAACTGTTAGGATTGACGCAGTGACCCAATACCAGTCTCTACAATATTTCTCCTACTGCCATGTAAAGAACATATTTGTAGGCAAGATAGGCAACTCCCATTTAAAAATTAAAAAATTTTTTTTTTTCTGTTTATCAGGGTAAAAACAGATTCGGATAGAGTTTACCAGCTACGTTCTAAGTTCATAATGGGCCACTTTTTATGCACCAGAACCTTATTAAGCTTGTATGGAAGATCTGAAACAGTTGGGTTATTCTCTGTTTGATGGTTGTCTTGTTTGCTTGTCTTTTTCATTTTTACTTTATGTGGATGCACGTTTGCCTGCTTGTATGTGCACATGTGTGCAGTGCCTGCCAAGGATAGAAGAGGGCATCAGATCTCCTGGAACTGGTGTTAGGAAGGTTGTAAACCACCCTGTGGGGTCTGGGACTCAAACTCGGATTCTCCTGAAGAGCAGCCCCTGATGTTAACTGCTGAGCCGTTTCTGCAGCCCCAGTATCCTGGTTTTTCTAGGCTACATTTGGTTAAATAAAGTGTTCCATGACTTGAAATTGTGCCATATTGTTCATAATATGTGTGTCTGTACAACTCTAAGTTGCAGGAAGAAGAACATGAAAGGTAAGTGTAGAAACAGAGTCAGGGAGCCTTGAAAGGTTGGCTAAGGAGCAAGGGATGACTTTGTCAGCATCGCCGTCCAGGCCACTGGATATGTTTCTAACAGTATTAGTTTGCAATTATGGAAAGATTTTTTTCTTGTGGGAAACTTAATACTTTTATGCATTAATTCTTTTGCTGTGAAGTTAAAATATCAGGGTTAATGGTTAATTTTATTAAAGTTAAAATGAACATTTTTAAATATTAAAAATACTTGACAAAATCCAACTAGGGTAAACTGTTGATCTGATAAACCCCTCTATGAAGACTCCTCTGCCGACAGGGGCAAAGCAAGGACCCCCGTTTTACCACTTGTGTTCAGTATGCTACCAAAAGTTCTACCCAGAGCAACTAGCGAAGGAAAATCAGAAGAGTTGTCAGTGCCAAGATGGAGCCACTGGTTAAACTCAACAGAACAGAGTCAGGGCGTTATACAGCTCCGGAGGATGAAGCAAGCACACGTATTGAGAACCCTTGCAGACATTCCCAGAAGGGCTCTTACACGTATAAACCTGTAGCAGCTCTTGCTGGGTCTTTCCAAACTTCAGTTGTTCACAGGTCCTGAGAATCCAGGTGAGCCAAAGACCTGCCTGGAAGGTCTCTATCAGTTCACTCAATAGTTAATGGTAAGGTCTGATGGGCAGAACATGGCTGAGCAGCGCAGGGGAGTCCAGCACATCACAAATGCCCCAAGCTCTCCCAGCCATACTGCCATTGGGGGTCAAGGTGTGAATGGTGAGAAGAGAAAGGAAAGTGGGTGATTGGTGGCTCCCCTGCAGTTCTGTCCTCTCGTAAGACAGAGTGGGTTCCCATGCCTGGCCCTTGTACTGGGATGAGTTTTGGTTGGAGATGGTAGAGGAAATGAAAGGGAAACCGTGGCCTGGTGTG